GCAATACACTTAATTCCCACAGTCAGTTTAACTTAAACAAACACTATAATTCACAACGAACGATTCACGCGCTTGACTCAATTGTTCGTTTCTATCTCTGTCTGCAATTCAATTCCATTGTTTGGCGCACTTATATACAAGAATACCGCACATCTAGTAAACACTTGAGCATTCACGAACCTTCGAGAATATCATGACGTGTTACTAGCGTCACGTGACTTCCGCTGTCGTAACAATAATTATTTTATTTTTTGTTCTGTAGTATGTCATTAAAGACTTAAAGACCTTTAGTAGTTTATTACTTTAACATTATGTTGTGCTATAACAGGAGTGCTGGGAACATAATAAACCAGTAAACAACTCTATTCTCTTTCTGGACTTTCATGTTTTTATAGCATTAAATATTTTAGAAAATGCTGCTAAATAAATCATAACATATATCATAATGCTTAGGGTCAGCAAAGGACCTATTGGTCCATCTAAGCTGTTCCATTCTCTAAACTATTAAAACAAACACCTCAAAGCCAGTACTTATCCTTCATATATTTATCAAGCTTTCTCTTAAATTCACATTAACTGCCTCCATAACATCCAAAGGCAACCCATTCCAAAGGTCAACCACCCTGTTAGAAAAAATAAAATTATCTTATATAATTTATTCTTGAAACCATTGGTACTTGGTGAAACTCCATTATTACAGAATTGAGGAAAAAACTGTACATTACACAAAAACTTCATTTATTAACGACCATGGTTTCACCAGTAAAGGCATGATCAGGTCTATCTTAAAAACACATATACTGGTCTTTTTACTCAATTTGACAGTTTTATACCCTTCTCTTTCAAACGTAGTATTATTCTCTGTCTTCCAAATAGAGCCGACAATCTTACCTCTTTCTATTTAGTCCTTCACAAAAAGAAATTACTTCCATACAAAACTTTCTCTTTCGAAACGGCTACCCTATTCATTTCTTGGAGAAAATAACTTCCTCATTCCTAACTAATTTGTTTATCAAACCACCTAAGATACTGTTACGACAGCGGGGGTCACGTGACTCTAGTAACACGTCATATTCTCGAAGGTTCGTGAATCCTCGAGTGTTTACTAGA